ACACACAAGTCACTATTTGCTGTGTAGTGGCGTGCATGCACACGTCACTATCTGCTGGGTAGTGTTGGTGTGCACGCACACATATCACTACTGTGTACCGTTGGCGTACACACAGGTCGCTATCTGCTGTGTACTGTTGGCATGCAGGCGCACACACAAGTCACTATTTGCTGTGTAGTGGCGTGCATGCACACGTCACTATCTGTTGGGTGGTGTTGGCACGAACACACGCACGTCACTATCTGCTGTGTACCATTGGTGTACATGCACACAGTCACTATCTGCTGTGTACTCTTGGCGTGCACACACGTCACTGTGTGCTGGGTAGTGTTGGTGTGCATGCGCACGTATCACTATTTGCTGTGTACCATTGGCGTGCACACACCCACATCACCATCTGCTGTGTACTGTTGGCGTGCACGCACACACTTCACTATCTGCTATGTACTGTTGGTGTGCACGCACACATTTCACTATCTGCTGGGTAGTGTTGGCATGCACACACACACAAGTCACTATCTGCTGTGTACTGTTAGCACGCACACACACACGTCACTATCTACTGTGTAGTGGCGTGTACGCACACGTCACTATCTGCTGTGTACCGTTGGCGTGCACGCACACTATCTGCTGTCGTTCAATGTTGGCAACTCCGTGGGGCAGGTTTTAGTATCCCAATTTACAAATGAGGAAACAGAGACCTCTTTCAGGGGGGTTAAGCTCTTATGAAAATGGTAATTAATACTTATCGAGGCCGGGTGCGGTGGCTCACACCTGTATTCCCAGCACTTTGGGAGGCCGAGACGGGCGGATCACGAGGTCAGGAGATCGAGACCATCCTGGCGAACACAGTGAAACCCCGTCTCTACCAAAAATACAGAAAATTAACCAGCTGTGGTGGCGGGCGCCTGTAGTCCCAGCTACATGGGAGGCTGAGGCAGGAGAACAGCGTGAACCCAGGAGGCGGAGCTTGCAGTGAGCCGAGATTCCGCCACTGCACTCCAGCCTGGGCGACAGAGCAAGACTCCGTCTCAAAAAAAAAAAAAAATACTTATCGAACATGAACAATTTCCTAATAGCCGATATATCCAGCTCACATTTCCCAAATGACTAAATTAGCACGTTCCCGGTGGGTTGTTGACAGCATGGGAAGGCAGAGCCCATGTGTCCCGAGCCTCCGTCCATAACATGCCTCTCCTTTTCCGCCATTCGTGTAAGGACCCCTGGGCGTTTGACAGTTGTGTATCCTACATTCTGCCTTTGGCCGGCTGCATCCTTGTGGTGTCAACAAAACCCTGTTTCCCCTGTACTTCTGTAAAGTGAGGTGTGGTGCAAAGGCCTGATTGGATTCCTAGGAGACTTCGGGTGACAAAGCATCTGGCCGCTGTGTGGGTCCGGGGTAGAAGCAGGGGTCCTGTTAGGAGGCTTCTGCAGTGGACAGTGGGAGGAAGAAGCTGGGGGGAGGGTGAGCAGCTCGGTGTGGACGTCCAGCTGGACCTGCCAAGCTGCAAACTGGGTCTAAAGCGTGGATTCAGCAGGGCCACAGGCCGGGGAGAAAGAGTTTGCTGAGCACTGCTGATTTTTAAAAATTGATCAAGAAGAAATGAGGGTGGTGCCTGGTTCCCGGACACAACAGGGAGAGGAGAAGGAAAAGGATCAGCGGAGGGCAAGGTCAGAGAAACAGCAGGCAGGGGGAGGACCCGGGGCTGAGTGAATACAGGGGGAGGACCCGGGGCTGAGTGCTGCCAGGACGTCTGGGGGTACTAGAGATGACCACTTTGAACTCTACACCTCATTCTTTTTTTTTTTTTTCTTTTGAGATGGAGTTGTGCTGTGTCACCCAGCCTGGAGTGCAGTGGCGTGATCTCGGCTCACTGCAAGCTCCGCCTCCCAGGTTCACGCTATTCTCCTGCCTCAGCCTCCGAGTAGCTGGGACTACAGGCACCCGCCACCACGCCCGGCTAGTTTTTTGTATTTTTAGTAGAGACGGGGTTTCACCATGTTAGCCAGGATGGTCTCGATCTCCTGACCTCGTGATCCGCCCGCCTCGGCCTCCCAAAGTGCTGGGATTACAGGCTTGAGCCACCGCGCCCAGTGTACACCTCATTCTTTATTTTTAAATTTTGCTCTGTATTTTTATTTCTAACGGGAATTATTCTTGATTTTTCCCATGTTGTTGTCTCCCCCACCCCCAGTACATACGTGATATTCCCGTCTACCACCCTGGCTAGAGTGCAGTGGCGTGATTTTGGCTCACTGCAACCTCTGACTCCCAGGTTCAAGCGACTCTCCTGCCTCAGCCTCCTGAGTAGCTGGGATTACAGGTGCCCACCACCATGCCCGGCTAATTTTTGTATTTTTAGTAGAGACGAGGTTTCACCATGTTGGCCAGGCTGGTCTTGAACTCCTGACCTCAGGTGATCTGCCCGCCTTGGCCTCCCAAAGTGCTGGGATTACAGGCATGAGCCACCGTGCCCGGCCTCATGTATTTAGTTTTCTATGTACTAGTCACTAATTAAGTCCTGAACTCTCTCCTCTAAATCTTAGTGGATTCAATCACTTTCATCCCCTTGAGGGTCTCTCTCCTGAGCCTTCTGCCTGGCTCAAGGTCCCCTATTCCTGTGACACACCCCGGCTCTCCTAGATTTGATCCTTGATGTGGTTCATGTCTTCCTTTTTCCTGGTCTCCACTCTCATTTTAGTAGCATTTGTGTGTCCACATACACCAGATTCCAGGAGGTCAAAGTCATCGCCCTCCCAGCCACGCACACACAGCATATAACTCTTGCAGATACCCCTTTGGGACGCCGGGCATCATATACCTGCCCCACCGTGCACACACAGGTGTGTATTTCCCTTCCTCCACATTCACACAGCCTTTCCCATGCAGCATGCTCACACACACACACACACACACACACACACACACACCCTGCTAGCAACACCCATACATTCCTGTGGGAGAAGGGGCTGAGGCACAGGAGGTAGAGGTGGGAGGGGAGGCAGAGATGGGGAAGGGTCAAAGGGCCCAAGTTGGAGGGAGATGCTGTGTGGACTGACTTAAAAAAATGGGTCCCGGCTGGGTGTGGTGGCTCATGCCTGTAATCCCAGCAGTTTGGGAGGCCAAGGTGGGCAGATCACTTGAGGCCAGGAGTTCAAGACCGGCCTGGCCAACATGGTGAAACCCCATCTCTACTAAAAGTACAAAAATTAGCCGGGCATGGTGGCAGGCGCCTATAATCCCAGCTACTCGGGAGGCTGAGGCAGAGAATCGCTTGAACCTAGGAGGTGGAGTGTGCAGTGAGCCAAGATCATGCCACTGCACTCCAGCCTGGGCAACAGAGTGAGACTCCATCTCCAAAAAAGAAAAAAACAGTCCCTCCACCTACCTGCCTGCAGGGCTGCCTGGTTAGGGCCAGTGTTTATTGCCTGGGTGAGTCCACCCCCTGCAAGTCCCCAACTCCGCCCAACTCCATCAGCCGCTCCAGTTCCCTTAGGGATGAGGGCGGGGCAGGGGTGAACGAGGACAAGGGCAGAGGGACTCGGGAATGGGGAGGGCTGTCAGGTGGCCCCAGGTGAGGGGCATTTCCCTAGGGCAGTCACCGGCCCTGAGCTCAGCTGGCGTGAAGGAGAATGTCCACCTCCCTTGTGCTGACTTGGAGCAGCCTTGTGCCCACACAGGCACCTGGGCATCCAGGGCTCAGAGGAGAGCCAGGACCTGAGGCCGGAGGGCGTAGAGCTGGCCTGAAGTCTTAAGGTCTGAGACCACAGGCCTCCAGCAGGTGCAGCTCAGGGGACCGTCTCCTGGCCTTGCAGCCCCAATCACAGCAACCCCAGGGCCCCAGAAGGGTCCAGCCTTGCCTAATTAGCTGGCTTCCCTCCCTGCTGTCCACAGGCCCTGTGGTGAGTGGCAGGGTGAGGGCCCCCCCAGGAGGGCCCCAGTGCCTGGTGGGTGAGTAATTCTATTTACCTTTCCTCAGAGGCCTCCTGTCCCCTCATTTGCCCCAATTAGTCCGGCTCTGCCTGAGCAGCTCCAGCCCACGTGGCCTAGGCGGGGCCTGTGAGCACCCCTTCCCCCAGGGTCCAGCGGCACCTCCCAGCAGCTCCTCAGAGCAGGGGCACCTGGCTGGCTCCTTCCCCAGCCCATGCACACACCTCAGCAGGTCTCACAGCACCTACCGTAGGGACCACCCGGAGGACTGACCACAGGCCCCTCATGGGCTTCCACCCTGCACTTGTCTCCACCCCTGCTGTGCGGTCCCTGGGCCCTTAGATTCAGGGTGTGCCCCAGACAATGGGAGACCCCACCCTTAAGCACCTCCTGTGTCCAACATGCAGGAGGCAGCTCTTTCCTGGTGCTCCCTGGCTGGCAAGCAGGGCACCCACCCACCATGCAGTGGCAGGAGGACTGGTGTAGGCTGGACCTCTCTGTGTGGCACGCCGTGGGTCCTGTGCAAAGTTTGGGCAACTTGCACTGCTTCGTCACCTGGACCCGTGGCAATGTTCAGGCCCATTTCTTCCTGCTTCAGTCTGCTACGTGGCCTGCAAATTGCCCGAGGGTGCTGGAGCTGAGATGAAGCGGAGGCCAGGAGGCTCAGAGGAAGGGCGGGCTGGTGAGCCAGGTACCAGTGTCCTCACGGCCTCCAGGGAGGAGACACCCTCTGGGTGAATCCAGTGCTGATGGGGTGGGTTGGGGGACTGTGATGCCTCATGCTCCCTTAGCCACTGTGCCCCTCACATTCCTGCTGGTGACTGGTGACCCTCTGATGGCCAAAGCGTCCAGGGAGATGCCCGCCAGAACCAGGATGGGAAGGTGGCCAGGGCCTGCTCAGATGGGCACAGGCTGGCTGCCTTCGGGATCCTCTGGGGTTCCAGTGCCAACTCTCTGTGAACTGGGACAGCAGGGGTCTTTCAACGACCCGCACTGGCGCTGACCACCCACTGCTGTTCCATCCCCACTGCTTCGGCCCGGCATTTCCAGCCCTGCTTTCCAGGACATGCGTGGTGACCACTTGAGCTCTTTATTGTTGGAGGACATCTCCACGCATGTAGCACGTGCCAACATACATGGGGACACTGGTGAGCAGTTCACCGCACAGCCCCTACCTCTGCCCTGGGCTCCTCAGCTCACCCCTGCACCAGGGACAGGGCAGGTGCAGGGAGAGGAGGCCCCATCTCTCGGACTCTCACTGGGGGTAGGCGATAGGCGGGGGCTGCTTTTGGCTCCCCTGCCCCCAGCCTCAGCTGGGCGTCTGGTTCTGGGTTGTCCAGCGATGCCCTCTAGGTGCCTGAGTCCAGCCCTAGCTGGGGTCCCAGCAGAGTTGAGAAGGGGCTCTCAGCCAACCTAGGGAGGCCACCAGCCAAGGGGATCTCCGCAGATGAGTCCTGGCTGCCACCACCCCTCCCAGACTGCAGCTTCTTGCCAGGAAGGCCTTGGCCAGGCGCAGATGGGGCCTTGTGGTTGCTGGTGCCCCGCTCCTCCTGCAGCACTTTGCCCAGGCGCCAGCGGTGCCAATGCCGCCGAAGTTCCGACTGCACCTGGGGCGGGGGGTGGGGCAGGCCAGTCCTGGGGTCTGCCTGTCCTCTCCGCCCCACCGGGACCTGCTGTGGGCCCCGTCGGAGGTGCCCAGTCTCCACTCTGAGGGGTGCAGAGCGACACAAGCTCCCTGCTGGGCACAGCTATGCCACCCAGCATCGCCACGGAAAGCACAGTCTGCAGACACCCGGGGACCCCCGCTGTGGACACCCTAGCGATGGGGCTGAGGCCAACCTGTCTTGGGGGCCTGACAGCCAGCGCCACGGCAACTGCACCCAGTAAGAGCGTGTGGAGGGAAAGACTTGGGCCACATGTGTTCCAACCCCTGGGAAGGGGTGGGGCTGGCATCCCTGTGCCACTCTCTGCCCCTGACCCTGACGGCCAGGGTTGATGGTCTCAGACGCCCCCACTGCCACCTACCTCCTTGTTGAGGAAGCAGTAGAGGACAGCCACCAGCAGGCCCTGGAGAGAGACGGTGGTCAGGGGTGGCATGCTGCGCCCCGGGTGGGGGAGCCGCGGGCGGGCAGGCACCTGGAAGGAGCTGAGGAAGAGGTCGAAGAAGAGCTTGGCGAAGCGCAGGGTGCCCTGGGCGTGCTCGTCCGTCACGAAGGCGAAGACCACTTCATGGACACCCAGCAGGGGGATGAGGGTCAGTGTGGACTTGGCCAGCCTAAGAGGCAGAGCCTGCGTCACCCACCACCCTCGCCCTCGGCCCGCACCATCCACGTGGAGCTTGGAGTCCCCCCACCCAGCTGCCCTCTGGCCCTGAGGGTCTCCAGATCCCGGGGCGCCGGCCCGCCGTGGCACCCACCGGAACTTGTAGTCTGTGTGGTGCATCTGCCGCGCCCGCAGCTTGGCCACGAGCAGGTGAACAATGCGGATGAAGATGAAGAAGTTGATCTATGTGAGAAGGGCACGAGTCAGGGGCACCCCGAGCCCCAGGGGACAGCTCTGTGCCCTTGGAAGGCCCCACCTGACCCTCCTGCAGGTGGGTCTGGCAGCCAGATAGGCCCTGAGCCACAGAGCCCTGGGGCTGGTGGGCACCCAGCCAGGGAGGAGCAGCCTGGCTCAGTGCCTAGGGTGCTGGCCAGTGTCCTGGTGTCCTGTCTGGGTGCCGGCTCCCTCCTGGCCCTCCCAGGCAGGATGCTGCTGTCTCCTGGGGCAGCCTCAGGACGCCAAGGGAGGAGGGCCCTGGCATGCGGTCCTTGCTCTTCATTTCCTCACCAGGATGGCCAGGAAGACGGGGAACCGCAGGATCCACCAGAAGTCCATGTTGTTATTGCTGGTCCAGCACCTGCGAGGCCGGGCCACTCACAAACTGGGGCACAGCCCCCAGCCCCTCAGCCCTCAGCACCCCCGTCCCGATCTTGCCAGTATCTAATTCAGGCCTCAGGAAATGAAGGGAGAAGGTCACGAATGATCACTCTCCCCAGGCACCAGGCTCATCCCCGGCCCCTCCCTGCCTCGGGCCAGAGCTCCACACCCCAGCCCCCCGGCCCCTTCCCCGGGCCGTCCGGCCGCTCATACTCACTGGATGTTCTCGAACAGACACCTGACCACCACCCAGGGGATGATGAACAGCATGGGGGCACCTGTAGGGGGCAGCAGCTGTGGTCTCAAGGCTTGGCTAGCCTGCCCCGACCCCTTCCCGTGCCGGCCCACTCACCCCAGCCGATGCCCAGGTAGAGGCTGAAGAAGCTCCTCTCAGGGAGGGTGGCCAGGCCCAGCAGGTTGTGCAGGTACAGGCCCTCCACCAGCAGCCAGCAGTAGTTGGCCACGACGCCATATTGCATGAACACCGCGGCCACACGGCAGCCGGCCACCGCCTGGCACAGGTGCAGTGTGAGCGTGGCCATGTGGCCACCTGCCTGGCTGCCCGCCCACCCGCCTGTGTGGGGCCGCCTACGGGGGCTCACTCCATCACTGAGCCAGATGCTGACACTGAGGTCGTCGCCAATCTTCTGGCTGTAGCGGGTCCTGAGTAGCCCATCGATGACCAGCACAGAGCTGGCCTTCAGCACGAAGGACACAAACAGGTTCGCATGGATGGCATTGCGGGTGCAGTGCAGCTTGCTGTGGGGACAGCCAGTCAGCGACCGCCCTCCTCCCTGCCCTCTGCGGCCGCCCCGGGCACTGGCGGGATCCTACCTGATGCCCCCCAGGATGGCCAAGGCGAGGAGCAGGGCCCCCAGGGACAGGCTGTAGCCCACCGTGTACATCACCTGGAAGCTGCTGTACATCTTAGCCACCTCCTTCTGCGAGTTACAGTGGCCTGTGAGGGCCAGGCGGGGACCCCCGTGCCCATTCCCATCCAGCCCCACCGCGCCCGCCTGCCGCCGGCTGACCTGGACCTCAAGCTCCTCGCCGTCCATCTGGCACTGAGAGGCGTCACGCCAAGGCTGCCCCCGGGGTCCGCGCACCCACTGACCATCGGGCCCGCATCTCTTGAACACGAAGCGGTGTTGCACTGCGGGTGTTGGGGGAGGCTGGGTTAGCGCCACCCCTGGGCCCGCCCCTCCCACTGTTCCTTCCCTCTATGGGTACCTTTGTGGTGCCAAGGCAGGTACCAGGGGCAGGAGATGTTGGCCGTGGTATTGGCGGGGGTGTCTGGCCAGCAGGAATACTTGTCGAAGGTTCTGTTACAGACCAGCTCTGCAGGGCAGGGTGGGAGAAGGGGCTCCCTCAGCAGGCCTCTTACCTCTCTCTGGAGGCCTGAGCTCAGCTGTCACCTCCCCCAGGACATGACCTGGGCTGCTTCCTCCCCCACCTGACCTCCACCTCCCCAATCTGACCTCCACCTTCCTCACCTGACCATCCATCTCCCCTGGGCCAGCCTCCCCTAGCACTCCCAGCCCATCCCTGAGTTCCAGCTCTGCAGGACACCTTCCCTCGGAGAACCCCCATCTCAGATGTCCCCCAAACCCACACTGGGGTCCCCCATTCTCCGTGACTTTCTCGCAGTACCTCCCTCTCTGGGGGCTGAACCCCAAGGCCATTTTCATCCATCCCAGGTGCACTGCCAAACCTGTGGCTGCCACACCCGCTCCCCTCTGCCCAGTGGAGGCTGCCTCCCTCGTCTGAACCGTGGCACTGCCTCCCAGGTAAGTCCTCCAGCCCTAGCCTCGCCCTGCACCCCAAGTGTCCAGGCCATGATATGCACTCTCCACCCAAGCCCTCCCAGGCCTGTGTCCTCTGCTGACCCTCTGGGTCCCACCTCCCACGCCCTGGCACTGTCTGCCCACTGAAAACTCCATGGGGCTATAGGCGGTATTACGCGTCTGGGCCTGGGGGCACGAAGCAATTCCACTGTTATTTCCTGGCTCTGCAGCCTTAGGCAAGTCCCCAGCTCTGTGGCTCAGCTACCTGGTTACGTCACCTGCCCATGGTGGTGGGGCCTGAGGAGTGACAGGGCCCCTTGGCGGGGTCCTCAAGGGCTGCATAAGCACCCAGGAACCTTCCCATGAAGAGCTCAGGAAATGCTGAGGCCAGGCACAGGCTGAAAGGCTCTGGGTGGGGGCTCACCCGTGGGAGGGGGCAGCAGGCTCAGGTTGTGGTGACACTGGTCACCGTAGAGCTTCCACTTCTCAAACAGGAAGTCCATCACCTGAGCGGAGGGGGCCTGTGGCTGGGGGACACATGCACAAGCAACCATACAGACAGGCAGGCAGATGGACAGACAGATAGGCAGACAGGCAGATGGACAGACAGACAGACAGGCAGGCAGGCAGACAGGCAGGCAGGCAGACAGGCAGGCAGACAGACAGGCAGACAGATAGGCAGAGAAATAGGCAAACAGGCAGACAGACAGACAAATAGGCAGACAGGCAGACAGGCAGAAAGACAGACAGATAGGCAGACAGACAGGCAGATGGACAGATAGGCAGACAGGCAGACAGACGGACAGATAGGCAGGCAGGCAGACAGACAGATAGGCAGACAGACAGATGGACAGGCAGGCAGACGGACAGCCAGGCAGGCAGGCAGGCAGGCAGAGAACCATCAGTGTGCAGTCCTCAGGAGGGCCCCTGGGTGCTGAGGGTGCTGTGAGTCCTCACCTGGCAGGCCAGCAGCAGCAGCAACAGTAGGAGGGGTCGACGTGGCTGACAGGGGGGCATGCCTCTGGGCAGCTAGCTGCCTCCCACATCTGGCAGGGGCTGCACGGCTGGGGCAATGCAGTCCTGGTGGGTGTGCGCGCTCCTCCGAGGGCAGCTGAGTGGCAGAGCAGCAGAGCCTGGGGAGCCCTGGCCAGTGGGGGGGCCCTCCCCTTAAGCTGCTCCTCTCAGCCTCAGAGTCCTACGGATAAAGAGGGAGCTGGGGGCTGGGCATGGTGGCTCACGCCTGTGATCCCAGAACTTTGGGAGGTCAAGGCAGGCAGATCACAAGGTCAGGAGATCGAGACCATCCTGGCTAAAATAGTTGAAACCATGTCTCTACTAAAAATAAAAAAATTAGCCGGGCATGGTAGTGGGCGCCTGTAGTCCCAGTTACTCGGGAGTCTGAGGCAGGAGAATGGCGTGAACCCGGGAGGCAGAGCTTGTAATGAGCCAAGACGGAGCCACTGCACTCCAGCCTGGCAGACAGAGTGAGAGACTGTCTCAAAAAAAAAAAAAAAAAGGGAGCTGGGAGGGAGGAGACCCCAGCAGGAGTCACTCCTTGCCAGTAGGAAGTGGAGCTGGCTTTCCTGCCACCCAGCGCTGGCTGGCTGGCAGCTCTGAGGGTCCCAGAGCCCCTTGTCTCAGTGCTGTTGGCAGCCACCCTCCTGCCGGGTGACCCAATGCTCTTGGCAGGGGACCAGCCTCCCCAGATGCTGACCTCCTCCCTCAGTTGACAGCCCCCCGTCGGTTCCGGTCCTCACCATCCTCCTCACCTATTCTTAGCCCCTGGGAAAGTTGGCTTGCCAGGCTGACCTGAGCCAACGTGCCGAGCCTGAGGGTGGCGGTGCCCAGACCTTTCATCACTTGGCCCCAGTGCCACGGTGAGCAAAGTGGCTGGGCTGGCTTGCAGCTGTGCCAGGCCAAGTGTGTGGGACCCACACTCGGGGATCTGTGTCACATGCATGCCCCTGCCCAGCACTGTGGTGCCTAGGTGCCCCATGGGTGCCATGCAAGGCTCGGTTGGGCTTCCTGGGTCCCATGGGACACTACAGGCTGGCTGCACATTCCTTTGAGATTAGCACTGCCAGCGCCGGCTCAGAGGAGGAGCTGGCCTAGAGTGGGGGCACAGGGTGGGGAGGACAGCCCCTGTGGTGTCTGCCAGGGCTGTGGGAGTCACAGCACCTGGTCCCAGGCCAGAGCCAGCATCTGAGCTGGGAGTTCGGGGCGGGAACAGCTCCACAAATCGGCCTTTCATTGCTGCAGAGCCTAGTTTCTGCACCAACTGAATTCTGTGGGAGAAGCAGGGAGGGTCTTCCCGTGGGGCCCGTGTGCAAGTCCCGGGGCCCGCGAGTGGCTGGCTGTGAGCCCCCAGGCTGTGATGAACTCTTCTTTGGGGCACCCTCAAACGGAATAAGAGGTGTGGATGGAGGGCTGGGCAGATGGAGGGCCGGCCAGCTGGAAGGCAGTGCCAGGAAGAAGCCGGGGAGAGGGGCGAAGGCTGCCGCTGGAGCGGAGGATTTCTGGGCAGGGCTGGACAGCTGGCTGCCATGGGACAGCCTGGATTTTAGCCTCCTCCAGGCAGCTGCTGGGTGAGCCTGTGTGGGGCCAGCACCACCTGGGGCTCCTCCTGCTAACAGGGCCTGAGATGCACCAAACAGGGTGACAGCTGAATGATAGGGACAGGCACCTGCGTCACAGCCTGCTAAGGGGCTCCCAACCGCAGCCCTTGGACCCTGGGCTCAGGTAGGGGCCGATGGGAGGCAGGACCCGAGCATCGCTGATCCCCAGTCCCTGAGCCAGGTGAGCAGCCATGCAGGCTTAGCACTGGGGCGAAGGACCCACGGAGTAGGGAGGGGGCTCTCCCTGGTGGAGAAAGCAGCAGGCGGGTGGGGGAGGAGGAGCAGTTTTGGCGTCCCCAGCTCTGGGGTCACCCAAGGGGCCTTATTTTTCCTGATTCTGATCAAACAGCCCCATCTGCTGCCACTGCCCTGGGCGGCTCTGGCCACTGAGCTGGGCTGGGTGAGGAGCAGCAGGAGCCGCCTCTCCCTGCTGTGTGCACCCCCAACCCCGAGGGGCCCTGGAGGAGGGGCCCTGGAGGAGGGGCCCTGGAGGAGGGGCCCTGGAGGAGGGGCACTGCTAGGTGGGCAGGCTCAGGGGTGCAGGGGAGGCCTGGGGCTCTGGGCAGGGGACAGGGAGAAAGACAAACGGCAGCTGGAGCAGGGCGGATGGTGGAGATGCAGGCAGGGGCCAAGGAGGAAGGATACTGGCTGATAAGCTGTTCCCTGCCTGGGGGCCCTGCAGTGGGGGTTAGGGGCATGCGTGCTCACCCTGGGGAGAGGACAGCCCAGCCAGGAGCTCCCTGGGCAAAATGACAGCCCCTTAGAGCCCAGCGTGGCCAAGCCTGGCTCTGCCCCAACTCTGCCAGAGAAACAGGAGCCATTCAATGACTGCCATGTTGACCCCAGAGCCACTGGGAGCACCCCCAAGCCAGTGCGAGAGGAGATGGCACCTCCACACACAAGGTCCTTGAGTGCCAGGGCCCCACCTTCCAGCCGTGCATGCAGTCTGGAGACCCCAGTGAGCTGAGGGAGGGGCGGGCTGCCCAGTCCCCCAGGCCTTTCTTTGAAGCAGTCAGGGCCCAGGAGTGGTGAGGAAGAGGGAGTGGGGCTCTTTGTGTCCCCCCCAACCTCAACAGAAGGTTGGGAAAGTGGGGCTGGGGATCCTGGAGGATTCCCCCGACAGCTCAGCATCCACAGGCCACAGGTGGGCTCCCCATCAGGGCACCCCTAGTCCTGGTCCCTAGGGGTCAGGGCCTCTGAATACAAGAGGTGGGGTGGGGGGCAATTCTCCACTGGGTCTCTGATAGTGAGGCAGGAGGTGTAGAAGTGTGGGGGTCCTCCGTTCCCTGCGGGCGGTGGGTCCCATGTGGGTAGGGAGACTCCAGCCCCTCATCCCAGCAGGGGTGGGTGGAGCCGGGGGGATGGGCCAATTTCCAGCTGAGCACCCAGGAGACAGCCCGGCCTGGAGAGCAGGGCTGAGACCGCTGTGGTCCTGGGAGGGGGATGATGATTTAACTTCCCAAATAGGGACCCTGCCCCGTCACTGAAGGTGACACCAGCCTGAAGGGAAGAAGGGAGGCTCCTCTGATGATCTCACCCAGCCCTCTCCCCTGACAGGAGACACTGACAACCCCGGGCCCCCGTCAGCCCGGGATCAATATCTGTTGACTGAAGAAGTGGACAGAAACTCCCAGCTGTGGAGGTGCCACCCGGGGCTCCCCATGGCCGCAGTGCCCCTTATTACCCTGCTGGCGACGCTGCTGGTAGGTGGGGCCACCCACCAGAGACCCCACCCTCGGCCTTCACAGTCCAGGTGACCAAGCTCCTTCTCAGGCCTTGGAGTCATAAGAATTAGGGGAGGGGTTCCCGAGGTGCCCAGTGCAGGGGTTCCCGAGGTGCCCAATGCCGGGGGGGTTCCCGAGGTGCCCAATGAGGGATCTCCCGAGGTGCCCTGCCCGCCTTTCCTAGCCCCTCCACCGCACACCACCCCCTTCCTCCCTCCCACAGCCGCCTGCCAGGCCACACCAGCCACCACCAGGCCTTGGGGCCACCTGAGCTCCACTGCCCCGGCCCCTTTGCAGGGCTGGCACCCCCTGTCCTGTCCCATGTCCGCCCTGGCAGAACACGTGACTCTTGTGTGCTCATGGCTCCCTCAGGCTCCACCAATTCCCACTGGGGGTGGCTGAGGGAGTCGCAGACCTGGAGCTGGGCCCACAGGATGGGTGCAGCGGCCACTGGTTCAGGAAGGCAGCGGGGCTCCCAGGGCGTCCGCAAGGGGCCTCTCAGACGCTTTGAGGAGCTCCGGCATCGGAGCCGGGATGTTTTTGTGAAACCAGAGAAGGCAGCGGAAGGTCAGGGCACCAGGGCGGGTTCAGGGGCCACAGGCTGTTGACAAAGCCCTGAGCCCTCACCCCGTGGGGGCGGGGCAGGCCTGGGTGCCGGCCTGGGTGCGCCTCGACCCCCCAACCCTCATGCGCCCAATAGCAAGGGCAGAAAGCAGCCCTGGCCGGTCCTTGGAGGATGCGGGCGCCGAGAGGGCTGGGTCGGTCGGTTCGGAGTCGGAGCAGAAGCCCGGTGGCCGAGTCGGGCCGGTGGCGGGGGCGCCGCAGAGGCCGGAGCCGGGCAGGGCAGTGACCCGCTTGCTGGGGTCAAAGTCGCCAGTGTGGGCCGCGGCAGAGGAGCGGCCAGGTGGGGCGCAGACACCCCTCACCCCATCCCGGGCCGCGTCGGTGCCACCGGGCAGTCCTGGGGGCAGGAGCCCGCCGAGGGGAGCGAGAGCTGGTGAGACCCCGCGCCTCGGGGGCGCGTCCGCGGCGCTTTGTGCGCTCCCAGGGCGGCGGGCCCGGGGCCCAGAGCGGGGAGTGTGGCCGCCGCAGGGCGCCAGGCAGCCGGCGACATCCCCGCCCCCAGCGCGCCCCCCGGGACCAGAGAACGGGGGAGGGGCTGAGACCCCTGGACCTGCCCGACGGTGCGAGACCGGGTGGTGTCCGAGCCGGGGTTGGGAACGGGGCTGTCCGACGGGACCGAGGACCGCACCAGCCCAGGCCCCGGAGACCGCCCGGCCGGCTCCCTCCTCCCCGCGCCCCCCAGCCCCGCCGCGCCAGCCCCGCAGTCTCTGCCCCCACTGGCTCGGCTCCCGAACGTCCCCTCGGGGCCGCGGCCCAGGTGCTCACCGCGCGGCGCTGCTGGGGGCTCGGCTCGGCTCCCCGCCGTCCTCCGGGCGCGCTCGGGTCGGGCGCCGGTGACCGCCCGTCTCCGCGACGCTGCCGGATCGGGGTCGGTGCAAACTTTCCGGCTGCGACGCAGGGCGAGGGCGGCGGCGGAGGGCGGGCGCGGGGGCGGCCCCGCGGGGGTGGGAGCGATAGCCGAGGGTCCCCGCCCGCCCTCCGCGCAGCCTCCCGGCGAGCTTCGGTCCTGCCCACCCTGCGCGGGGAGCCCGGTGAGCGCCCGGTACCCGCGGAGCGGACCCCGCCCCTGGCCATCCGCAGACCCGGCGCCCTGAATTCCACCCCGCGGACCCGCGCCCCACAGACCTTTGTCCCACGGGTCCTGGTTCCGCAGACCCCAATCCTGCAGACCCCGGACCCCGCGGACCCTGGCCTGGCGGGTGGTGGTCGCGATGGGTCCCTGCTCCCGGCGGGGACACCCTGGGACGTGGAGGGGCGCGGCGGGGCGTGGGGGCGGTGGCTCAGCGCCCCTTCCTCTCGCTCCCTCCGCGTCCCTGGGCGCCCCCTCGCCCGCTTTCTCTCGCGGCCCCAGGTTCTCACCGCTTCTTTCCTACTGCCTTCCTAATGTTCTGGAAGGACCGACACCCCCGCTCGCCCCCACCGCGGCTCCGGGTTCCTTTCCCTGCAGAGCAATGGGGGCTGGAGGGGGGCCGACATGGGTGACATGGGTGGACCGGCAGGGCGGTCCCTGGGGTGCCCTTTAACTTTTTTGTGCCACATTTCCTGGTCTCCGGCCAGTCCTGTCGCTCTAAGGCACCTCCAGCAGCGCTGACCCTGGTCCCCCACCTGCTGGTCCTGCGGCCGCGGGGCTCTCTCCTCCGTCCCACCCCCTCCTTCCACACCACCTCCTTTCCTGGGAGTGGAGAAGCCCCAGCCAGAACCCCTGCCTTCCCCAAGAGGCACGCTAAGGGGGACATTCTCCCCTTCCTCATTCCTCCTAAAGCCAACATCACACCTGGCTTTGGGGCCGCTAGAACCTCAGCCCGCGTCCCTCCCCTTCTACCTCCAGCCGTCCCTGCTCTGTGCCCAGTGATCTTGGGGTCACCACAACCCCATGGACGCCTTGAGACCTCACATTTCCTGGCCTCTCAGTATCCTGGGACACTGATGGTCATGCCTTCCTTCTGGAAAGTTCTTCCCGAGGCTGTGGGTTCCAGGATGAGCACTCTCCTCCTCCCACTCCACTTCCTCCCCTTCTCCTTCCCCCTCCTCCCTTCTCCCTGGAGAGGTCTTCCTCCAAGTCCCAGTCTTCTTCCCCACCCAGAGCCCCTCCCGCTGACACTTGTCTTCAGTGCCTGTCTCTGTCCGGATGGTGCCTCCGCCCCACTGAGAAGCCTCCCTCTGGCATCTCCACTCCATCTCCCGGTCCCGCTGCTCCTATATTTCCCTGGATCTGTCCTGGCCACCCTCATCTTGGGACATGCCCTGCCCATGGAGGGCTCCTTTCATAGATGCTGTCCTTGGTCTTGGGGGTCCTTTCTCCTTAATTCTGCTTCTGTTTTAGGGGGCTTTGGAACCCAGGGTCTTTTTTTTTTTTTTTTTTTTCTTTTTTGAGACGGAGTCTCGCTCTGCCGCCCGGGCTGGAGTGCAGTGGCCGGATCTCGGCTCACTGCAAGCTCCCCCTCCCGGGTTCACGCCATTCTCCTGCCTCAGCCTCCCGAGTAGCTGGGACTACAGGCGCCAGCCACCACGCCCGGCTAATTTTTTTGTATTTTTTAGTAGAGACAGGGTTTCACCGTGTTAGCCAGCATGGTCTCGATCTCCTGACCTCGTGATCCTCCCAAAGTGCTGGGATTACAGGCTTGAGCCACCGGGCCCGGCCGGAACCCAGGGTCTTAACCCCAGCCATTCCCTCTCCCAGGGGCCACTTCCCTCTGAAGCTTAGCCCTGCTCTGTGACCTCCACAGGCCTGCCCCCACCTGGTCCTCACTCCCCTGCATAGCCACACTGTGGGGGCTCCGTGCTTCCCAGCCCATAGGAAGCCCTGTTCCCAGAGAGGCGCATTCTGTTGTGGTCCGAGCAGTGGCCAGAGGCAAAAGTCAGAAGGCAAAGGTCATAAAAGTCTATCTCTACCTGCCAGCATCTGCCCTTGCTGCCGCGTCCTCTCCCCTCTCCACCCAAACCGTCCCTCAGCTCCTGCCCCCACCTCTCCAGAGGCACAGAAAACAGGGTTCTGATCTTGGGTAATGGTACGTCCCCCACCAGCCTCAGTCTGAGACCTCTGTGAATGGGGGTGATGGGATGATGGGGACCACCTCCTGGTGGCCGCAGGGACTGGGGTGAGGGTGCGGCAGGCTCTCCCTAAGTCAAGTGCCATGGGGCTGAGGAGACAGTGCCCCGGCCCTGGAGAGGAGTCCTCCCTGCCCTCCTGTGTCCAGCTTTGTTTCCTGGAGGACAGGTCCCTGCGGGGCAGAGGCCCAGCAGTCCCAGGTAAGCGCTGGGTGGCTGGAGTCTGGTACCCACAGGAAGAGAAGTAGAAGAATAAATTTGGAGTGTGTGAAGGGGGCAAAACTTGAAAGGTTTGGACTCAGTGTGGGGAAGGAGAGGGAACAGATAGGGTGCGGACCCTCCCCTGGGCTGGGTGAGCCTTTTTTATATGACTGAATCTATGACAAGATTCTTTGCTTGACCAAAGTGTAGTCTGGCTTCAGAACCTTCTCGCAGGCTCATCTGCATTCTGCCTTGTAAAATCCAGATTTAGCAAGAACTCTGCTAAGTCAGTTTGGCAAGAAGCCTCCATCCCCCATATCTGATGGGGTCCTCAGCCTCCACCACCCCCAGGCGACGTCTGCTCACCCTGGCTGCCTTCAGCAAGCTTCCTGTTACCTGGGTAGGGTCCTCAGCCTCCGCCACCCCCAGAATCCTCCAGACAGGTGTTTCGTCTCAGTAATTTTCCACCCACTGACCCCACCCTGCTCCTGGGATTTAAATCCCACTCGCCCATGCCACATTCAGAGTTGAGCCCAGGTCTATACTAAAATCTTTTCTCCCTTATTACAATAGTCCTGAACAAAATATGTTTTTCAACTGCTATCCAGTTCTGGTTTCCCTTACATTGGTGAGACATATAAACAGAGGGCAGCTGGGAATGGAGGGGGCGGGGCCTTCCCACGCAGCAGTGGGGGTGGGGGGACCTGCCTTCCATCCAATCCCTAGGGCCCTCCTCATTGCAGGGGGCCCTCTTGGAGGTGTGCTTGGTCCTGTGTTGCCGGGCGCGCTGCAGCAGGACTGGGGGCTGGTCTGCACCCCCAATCCCTGAGATGTGGGTTTGTCTGTCTGTGCTGGGGATTCTGGAGACGGCACCTGCAGAGCTTAATTTTGGCGTCCGGCGAGACTTCTGGAGCCCATACTGCCTGCAAGGCTCGGTGCCTGCCAGCGAGACTCAGAAGCCCCACCCTGGAGTTCTGAAAGAGGCTGATGAGGAGGAGGGACGAAAGGGGCAGCCGGAAGCCAGGGCGGAGGGACCAGGGGTGGGAGGGGAGGCTGCATCTGGGTCCAGAAAACGTGGAAATGCAGGAAGGGAAACAGGAGCGTGGTGGGGCCGCCCCTCAGAGAGAACCTCTGTGAGCATTAAAGGGCATTTTTCCCCAGGTGTCTTCACTGTCCATTAATATATTTTTACTTTGATACAGTTTTGTAACCAGTGTTTCTCCCCACAACCTATAACACAAGGCACAAATCTTATGACAAAGTGAATGGACCTGCAGACTGCATCCTAGCACCTTTTGCCCTTAGAAGTGAATGCAAAGCAAGACCTCCAGGTATATGAGAGAGACCAATCACTTGGAAAAGAGGAAATTGGAGGAAACAGCTACTGCAGAGAACAGAAGAAAACTTCAAGAATATTTTAACCACTCTGATTATCCTTAGAGATATGAAAGGATGATGACCCCATAAACACTGAACAGAATGCTTTGCAAAACAAGCAGAGGACAGGAAGAGCCCTTGCCAGCTACAAATAGAATATCTGGAATTTAAAAAATTTAGTAGAAGGATTGAAAAATTGAGTTGAATAAATCTCTTGGAAGAAACAACAAAAAGGCTGGGCGCGGTGGCTCACACCTGTAATCCCAGCACTTTGGGAGGCTGAGGCAGGCTGATCACCTGAGGTCAGGAGTTCAAGACCAGCCTGACCAACATGGAGAAACTCCATCTCTACTAAAAATACAAAATTCACCAGGCGTAATGGTGCATGCCTGTAATCCCAGCTACTCGGGAAGCTGAGGCAGGAGAATTGCTTGAACCCAGGAGGCGGAGGTTGCAGTGAGCCAAGATCACACCATCGCACCATTGCCTGGGCAACAAGAATGAAACTCCGTCTTAAAAAAAAAAAAAAAAAGAGAAACAAGAAAAATCCAAGAGGAATAAAAAATAACAGAGAGTGGAGGGTTCACTAGAAAGTTGAGGCTGGGTGTGGTGGCTCACGCCTGTAATCCCAACACTTTGGGAGGCCGAGGCGGGTGGATCACTTCAGGTCAGGAGTTCGAGACCAGCCCGGCCAACATGGTGAAACCCCCATCTCTACTAAAAATAGAAAAATTTGCCTGGTGTGGTGGTGGGCTCCTGTAGTCCCAGCTACTTGGGAGGCTGAGGCAGGAGAATCACTTGAATATGGGAGATGGAAGTTGCAGTGAGCTGAGATCGTGGCACTGCACTCCAGCCTGGGCAACAGAGCCAGGCTCTGTCTCGAAAAAAAAAAAAAAAGAAGAAAGTTGAGTGTCTGAGGTTGGTTGGAGTGGCTCACACCTGTAATCCCAGCAGTTTGGAAGGCCAAGGCAGGAGGATCGCTTGAGCTTAGAAGTTCAAGACCAGCTTGGGAAACAT